TTGCAGTGAGTTCACAACTTGCTTGCACCAAATGCCAGAATTGGAGATTGGCTTTTGCAAACTCCGTTTTGGTTCAACGTCTGCAATTCTTGTCAACATGAATAATTACACCACCATTTGAGGTTTAGTGAATAAAACAATAAAATAAGAGAGTAGGGTTATAAATACTCCTGCATCCCAGATGTTGACACACTAAAACTCCCAGAATTCCTTTTGTGCATTAGAAACAGATTAATAGGGTTTGTATTCCAATATCAGGAGGTAATGAGCCTGGTAATCTAGCTCCAGAGTGTTACAAGACTGATTTATACATACAAGTTTTAGATTATATGTGTGTGTGTCCATTTTTTGAGATCAGAATTCTTATTGTCAAGAAAACTGGAAACACAAGGACCCCCCACACACACACATGTAGTTAATGGCTTAAGATATGAACCATGTGAGAGAGGGTAATATTTTACTAACCCTTTGAGGGCCGAAGGGGGATGACCGACACATATCACTCTCACACAGCTCTTAGACATTCAATATCCATTTTTATTTTATTTTTTTTGTCTACGTGTGGAAGGATTTATGCAATTTAATCTTGCCTTCCACACTTAACAAACCTAGCAGGATGCAATACAATGCAATTATTTCATACCAAAAAAAAAAAAAAAATCCAATTCCAGCAGATTGCTCTCCCAAAAGTTTCCTAAATAAGGGGGTGTCCTGCGGAACATTGCTGTGCAGTGAAAAGGCAGGTTTGCTCAAATAAGCAAAAGCGCAAAAGATACTTTAGACCCTGTAAGGCCATTATGCGCTAAATAGTCCATTTTCTGAATTCCCCTTACTGTGTGGTGTTAAATGTACGTGAAATACTGAGAAAATTATTCTTACATTCATCAGGGTTACCAGAACCTTTTGTGCTTGATATCATGTTAATCAGACAAATGATGTACCTTTCCAAACTGATACATGATATTCTTTTTTAATTTTTCTCCTCCTGTTCCCTTTCCTCTCTTTTGTTTTTTGACTGCTGATAGAGCTACGAGGGTAAGCCCATCAAGGCCTGATTCTCCTAAATCTAACTTTGACATGTAAAGCCTACTTTTGAGCTGAGACTGGTGCCTGCTTCCTTCCTACTTGTAGTGTCTTGGATTTTGTGACGACATTCTATTTGTTCTGTTCTACAATGTTTTTATTGCTACACGCATATCAAAAAAAAAAAGAAAATGTGATTAATGGTATGAAAAAAAACAAACGAAAAAAAATCATCTGTTACCATTAAGGATCTTCTGTCTATGGTAGTAGCATATCCTTATATAAATATATTATAAATAATTCTATATATATATATATATAAGATCTTAAATATACATCTTCGAGATATGTAAGCCAGTGTGCTTCCATGTGAATTAAAAAAAAAAGTCTTTAGTAGAAAGAAGAAAATTAAATGTCTTGGTTATTAAATGTTACTGGACAGCTGGTTCTGTATATCTGCATGTGAAGGAGTCTCAACTGCTGGAAGACTTTTTGGTGCTGGTGTTTAGCTGTGATATCTGTCAGAGCATTGAATAAAATATGTTTCTGTAAGAAAAAAATGACTTTTTTTTGGTAAAATTTATTTTTGTGTCTAATATTTAATTTAAACAGACAATGAAGTCAGCATAACCACTTTGACTGTTGGGAATCGATTGTTATGCTATGCTGCTCCCCTCCTGCCGTGTGTGTGTATCGTGGCCGAGTGGACTGCGGTCTGACAGAATGTGCTCACGGAGAGAGCACTTCCTGTCAGACCAGACCTGGTACGGCAATGAGTAGGTACCAAAGGGAAGGGGAAGAGACACATGGAGAGGCCGGGGGGATGGGAATAAGATACATGGAGGGAATGAGATGCTTAGGGGGGGAATGAGACACATGAAGGGACTGGGGAGAGGGCATGAGACACTTGGTGGGGGGGAGGGCATGATACACATGGAGGGGCTGTGGGGGTAGGGAATGATACACATGGAGGGGGTGGGAGGATGAGACGCATGAGGGACGAGAGGTGACTCAGGGCAATTTTTGCAAAGGGGTCCTTGTGGGTTCTAGTTATGCCTCTGACTCTAAAAATAGAAGATAGTGGCATTATGAGCTCAACTGGAAGCATATATAAAAATAGTGGTGGAGTCAATCTACTGACTCTAGCAACTCCCGCAACTGTAAAAAGATAATGGGCTTTAAATGAGACTAAAGCTTTTTTTTTTTTATGCTCTCCTAAGCCCGATCACAGAAATCTGCAAAAAGAGAGGGAATCCGTTCTTGGAGCACCACCAGATCCTCCCGGTATAATTGGGAGCAAGGCGTGAGTATAGTTACGAAGTGAGACGAATAGAACTAGTAGAAAGCTGAAAGAGCATGGCCATATGTTAAAGAATCAGTGGCTGTGCATTGCAGAGTAGACACATGTGCTTTACAATGGGAATAGTCTGTATCTTCCAGGATACGGAAGAGAAGAGGTAAATAGTAAGTCAAAGAGTACAAAGAAGAGGAAAGGGGGACCAAAAAAAAAAAAAAGGTTAGGGGGGATGAGAGAAGAGCCAATAAGCTTCACTGATACAGCCCCATCAACCTACAAGGACCGGACTGACCCCACATCATGACCCATATCTTCATGTCCCAGGAACAGTGCGAAGGAGAGGAAGTCCAGCCAGTAATTATGCCTCTGTGTATACAGTTTCCACTCCATCATAGGACCTTTGGAGAGCCACTTGGCTTTTAAACCAATGCACCTGTATGAAATGTACCTCTTGTAACAGAAGAACAGGTGGGCTGGTGGTCGATGACTTGGGATCCAGAAGTGTTCCACTAGGCCATCCACCTCATGTCAAGTGCCACTATGGACTGTTTGGGATTTCCACATTAACTCTTGGCAAGGGCAAAGTGTTCTACTGTAATGGCAAGTATGGACTAATTTGGCTATTTCATGTTGGTGGTAGGTATCACCTCCAGATACAATCCTTACTAAGAGGCATTTTCTCAGTGGTCATGTGATTAACTTTACATGTTAAAAAGGACACTATAGCCATCAAAACAACTTTAGCTTCATGAAGCAGTTTTGGTGTATAGATCTTGTCACTGCTCAATTCACTACCATTTAGGACTTAAATCACTTTATTTCTGTTTATGCAGCCCTAGCCATCCCTCCCATGGCTGTGACTGACAGACTGCATGAAAACAAAATGGTTTAATTCTCTAATATCCTGTTTATTTACTTTGAAGGTTTTTATCTCCTGCTATGTAAATTTAAGTTTAATTGCATACAGGCGGCTCCTACGGAGTCTATAAGGCTATCAGTTGAGCAGGAGATCCGAAATTATAAATTAAAGAGGGTGCAGTATCTTGATATCCCCTCTATTATCTGTTGCTGGGCTAGGAAAGAGACAAACAGTATAAAGGATGGAGAATCCCACCAGAGGTTTCTCAGGAGTCCACGCCGGGCACTAACCTGACCAGGTAAGAGTAACACCTCTGCTTACACCTTATTTTAATCTAAGGTATAACTGCAAAGGTAGAAAGTATAACCCACAGGCACAAGTTTCTACAAAATAAAGTTAGATAAAAATCTGTGGATTATCTAGGTCTTTTAGATAAGGATCAGAAAAAAAGGCCACAGACAGAATGTCATCAATGGCCACAAAGAAATGACTACACGGAAAATTGCTCACACTGAAAAATGCCAACAGAGTAATATGCACATATAGCAATTTGCAAGTAAAGGTGAAGATGTTTGCACAATTTAAAGTACCATAGAAATTTATATAATTGTAGATAATCATCTCTAATTTTTTGAGCATGAATAGGTATTACCTATATTTTATATTGTTATTGATGACTTCTGATTAAAAGATTTCATATGCAACAATTTACATTGTGATTTTATAGCGTATAATTAAATAATAATTTTACTATGTTATAAATACACTAATTCATTGCCAAACAAGGGTGGCTGTGTATGAAGAGGGCTTTAATGCTCAAATGTAAATGTTTGAAAGAGAAAAAGGATAAAAGTAAAAAAAAAAATAATAAAAAAAAATTAATGTATCAAACTTTCAATTCTCATGCTCACTTTTCAATCATGGTATAGCCCAGGTTATCTTGCCATGACTTCTCCTTCACCCTATTATCCATTAAAGGGACACTACAGTCAACATTACAACTACAGCTTAATGTAGTTCTGGTGTCTACACAGTGCCACTGCAGGATTTGTGATGTAAACACTATCTTTTCAGACAAAAGGCAATGTTTGCATTGCATGTGACACAAAAAACAGAAGAAGGGCAGCGCCAAGAGGTAGATAATAATAATAGTATATACAATAGTTCGAAGACAATATAATTTGTATAGTCTCACTAACTCAGTGGAACTAAAGTTCAAATAAAATCACCAAAAGATGAGAGAAAAATAAAATAAAATAAAAGCCAAAAACAAAGTCTCACACAGAGGTAAATGTCTTTATGGAGTGCTGGATTATGGAGAGGAGGTGGATCGGGGGCGTAGCCAGTACTGGCAGACTGGAATACAGGTAAGATTTTACAATACTTGGGGGGGCAAGGAGGGCTGACCCTATAGTGTTCCTTTAACTCTGTCAGCCTATTGGCCAGCTTACATTAGTTGCCACCCTATTGGCCAGCTTACATTAGTTGCCATCTTTCTCTCTACAGACCTCTATCCCATTCACTCTGCCCTATTTTGCCTTGAATTTGGGGGCTGTTTATTCCCTTCCCTTTATTCATTTTTCCTTTCCCTCTGCAGAACATTTACGGTCGTTCCTCCCCAGTAAGATACTGGTAATTATTTTGAAAACCTTCAATGCCAGATGTATCTGTTGCTAGTATTTTTATAGCAAGAAAAGTGAAGGTGTGTATTGCTCCCCTGTCTGAGATCTGAAACCATGGAGTGACTTAGGGCTTTGTTCATGAAAGAGGGAATTGAAAATGTATTGTAAAATTAAGGTCACAATAGAAACATAGAAACACAGAATGTGACGGCAGATAAGAACCATTCGGCCCATCTAGTCTGCCCAATTTTCTAAATACTTTCATTAGTCCCTGGCCTTATATTATAGTTAGGATAGCCTTACGCCTATCTCACGCATGCTTAAACTCCTTTACTGTGTTAACCTCTACCACTTCAGCTGGAAGGCTATTCCATGCGTCCACTACCCTCTCAGTAAAGTAATACTTCCTGATATTTTTAAACCTTTGTCCCTGTAATTTAAGACTATGTCCTCTTGTTGTGGTAGTTTAAAGTATAGCTTAATGGGATAAAGTGTAAACCTATATATATTACTATATTTGCATATTAATCCGTGTGGGCATGTTTCAGTGTGAGCAATTTTTCTTGTGCACATTTATGACAGTGGATTTTTCTGTGGGCTTTTTTCATAGATTGCTTTCAATCTATATTTTTGATTTCTCCTCAAAGTAGCAAATAATAGATGTCACTCTGACCACAGTTAATGCTACTCATTTCAATGACCACTGACGGATGAAAGGGCGAGTTGGCTCTGCAGAAACAAACTTCTAACAAGCACCATAGCTAGTGTTTTGTGAAAATAAGCACTCACATCTAGACGTAGGACCAGAATTATTCTTCAAATTCCTTTGTGCATAAACAGTAAAATAGTAAAAGTGCAAAAAAAGAGAACAAAGCCAAGAGTAAGTTTTGCTGAATACATTTATTCAGAAAAGGAAAAAAAAGAAATGAACATTTTCCAACAAGATTAAATCAATTCAGCAACAGAATGTATAGTGTAGCTCCCTTGACCTGTGATTTTAACACCCAATAAATTATAATCCCCCCCCCCAACCATTCTCGTTAATAATCTTCCAATCAGATGACATAACAGCTTCTATAGAAGCTCCATCGAATTATATTACAAGTATCCGGGAAACCTGCAGACAAAAATGCTGCAGAGAGCCAGCATCATTACCAGGAATTTACAAAATGTTACACACATACACTATGTACAGGAAATGCATCCGTGCTCAGCTCTAAAAGAGACACACGAGATTCTGCCCAAATGAACCTCAGATTACCTATGCAAAAGCCCCAAGGAGTCAAAAGAGTAATTGTTTTAATTTTCTACTTGTCAAGCAGTGAACCGCTAACCTCTGCAATGTGTTCTCTATATGTAGTGATTATGCACTTTGAGTTAGGGGTAGCTGAAAGTCAGCACTCCAGCAGCCTGGCAAAGGATCAAGGGAGGTGTAGTTAATCTGCAGCCAAGCTGCTTGTAAGCCCACATTGACAATCTAATGCCAGTGATCTCCACCAACCGCTTAAAAGGTTGTACAGTCAACCGTTTCGGATAAATGAATATGGGCTGTAGATGATTTTTTTACAGTTCCCAATAGATTATATAAATTAATACATAGTCTCTTAAAGTGCAGAACATAGCTGCTATGCAGCATGATTATTTTGCAAAGGTTTAATAAAATCTACAGTAGTACTAATATTACTGCAAGGTGTTTTTATTTATTTATTTATTTTTAATTTTGGCAGAGACTCTTAAGCATCACCAGAAACCACCCGAAAAAAATGCTCTAGATTAACCCCTTAAGAACCAATCGCTCATAACACCATAGAAATCCATTCGTCGGAGATCCTAAAGCAGCACAGAATATCCCACTCATCTAGTGCTGATTGCAAACGCGTAGGTCATTCTGTGCTGGCAGAGGAGCCATCAAGGATTTGATTACAGTGCTTATACTGGATACTAGACCGAGTGCAATTGGTCCTTATGCGGTTACATGACTGCACACATTACAGGGCTACGCATATATCACATGGCTTATAGCCATCTGCTTTACTTTAAACATCGTGTCCTTAATAGGAGAGGGAAAAAAAAATATACACCTATTTCTGAGTTGGTACAATTCTCAAAAAACCTCTTTAAAAATATTAAATTCTTCAAAATTCACCTGCAAGTTACCTTTAAGTTTATTGCCCTCTCAGTTTGTTTCAGTGAGCACAATACTTATTTCAGAATCTTTACTGTTAAAAAAATCCCCTTATACCCAGGTATCCAAATGTTCCACTGCCAGCAACAGCTGCATATCTAGGCCGAACTACATAAAACCCATATCTGTGTACCCATTCTACGAAGTGGCTGTGCTTTCATGGAATTCGGCCAGAGCAAACTCAGAAACACTGGCTGAAAAAAACAAAAAACAACACATTCCTAGCGCTTTCTTGATTCTGAGGAACCAACGTGTAAAATATTTTTGCCAAGGCATTCCGTGGTGATTCTGGTGGATGGTCAAACATCACCAGAAGAGATCAACACAACATATCGCCTCGCCAGCAACAGAAACTTATTGATCGTTTGTTATGTAGGAAATCACCAGCCGTGACCACGATCTATGCCCTGCTGACAGCAGTCTGAAATCCGCAGTCTTGCACATACATTAGACTATTAATGGTCAACCATGGCCCTACAACAGCAACGGTCTGGCCCAACCAGTTACGTAGAACATTCACTGCCTCGATTTAAAATGTTAGTGCTAAGGTTGTATAATATGCAGGCAGCACTGAACATATACAGTATGGCAGTGAAGACCATATAGTAGAATTATTGACTGGCAAGAGTGGTAACCAATGGTAACAAATAACTGAACATTTCTATCATCTATGTTGGTGGATGCAGCAAGGCAAAAACTTTGAGATTGTGACTATCCTTGCATCTTACGACCTAGTAATGGATTAAACAATACTGCCGGGTGCTGGATCTTTGGCGAGGGTAGCAATAGTTCTAATTCTTAGTATCTGAGGAACAAGCCAATCAGATCTCCACCCCACCCCAAGTGACCACTTCTCCTGTGCACATGGAGATTATGAGTCACAGTCACAAGAAGAGATGGGATGGAAGAGGAAGTTTGGGCTAAGGGGCAGGAGAATGTCTATAGTTTCCATCTCAGACCACCAAAATCCGGACCTCATCGTGCTCATCAGCACGGTAGAAGAATGGTATGCAAGGATTCTGTAGCAAAGAACTAGGTCGCTCCTGAGGGTTCTGGATTTCTCGCAGGAGCTGCATAATCTGCTTGGCAGTAGGGTCTTCAGAGCTGGTCGCTGGACTTGACCCATCTCGGTATGGGAAGGAATACGTTTCTGTCTCTACTTTCTCTTGTTCGGAATCTTCTACTAAACTGACCTCTTCCAGAGCTGTGAGAAGACACAAAATGTGATTAGTGGACCTGACTTGTAAAGAATATCCAAAAACAGGATGCAAGAGAATGCGGCAAATGGGCAAAAACTTAATAGTTTGCTCTATGGTTAGTTCCAAATTAACCACCACACATGTTTGAAGGATAATCAAGATGATATACTCTTGCAGAATGTGCTTGTAGCCTCACATCACTTAAGAGGCCCCTTACGTGGCTGCTGTTGTGAAGAAGGGGCTTTTTGGCATTTCGATACAGGAGTGCCTATGCGTGTGGGATTAAAAGAAAATGCATAAGTTCCCAGGTAAAGGCACAAGTGAGCTAAAAATCAAGAGAGCTTGGGACAAACCAGCTATTAAGTTAATTAAAAAAATATATATTTATTATTTGGATAATATCCCATGACCCCCATCAGTCCATTTAGTACACATACATTATATTACCATAGGGATAAGTTACATATGCCGTGGAAGCTGTAGAAATCCTTACCTGCTGCCCCTAACTCCAAAGCCACCATTCTCTGAAGGCAGAGGGATTCACGCGGTTATTACACCCACCTTTTGCTGCTGTCCACTCTTTGAAGTGATTGTATCAGTTGGGGACATTTCCCCAAGCAAGGCAATCCTCTATGGTGACAACATGCTGGCTTTACTGCCAGCACATCAGCACCAGAGAGAGTCCTATACTCCCCCAGAAAACACTTGCTGGGGGAGTAGCTGTGTGACATGGAGCAAGAGAACTGCTTTTGGGAGGGAGGTTCTTTTGCTCTCGCGGTCACTCGGTCCTCACCGTGGACCTGTATGCCAGCAAAATATAGGTCTAATGCAGAGGATTGACAGGTGGGGAAGATCAAAAACTATAAAGGGCATAAAATTTAAATTTATACATTTGCTAGCATTTCTGCTAATACACTGCATAGAAGATATTAAATACTCTTAAAATTGTACAAGGCATTTTTTTGCGGTTATCTAGCAGTTCAAAATCAAGATACACACACTTCAGTGAAATGCTGGTAATTCTAAGTGGATTTCAATATTTAGGTTAAAATAGCTGATTTAGAAAAATGACCTAAGTTAGTTCAGTTTTCAGTTTGGCTACTTTGGCCTTACATTTGAAATTCACTTTGAATTCATTGCAATTCTTACTTTAGTAAATAACCCTAATTATGTTATCTCATCATTTAACATACTGCACCTTCCACCTCTCTTTCTGCTCCCGTTTACCAGGAAAGTGTGACCATATAGTGAGCGAGGTAATGCTCGTACCCCTGGTTGGTTAGAGTACCTAATGGCTAACCCTTCATGCGTTGGAGAGAACTGTGAAACACAGACCTATTCTGCGGGGTGTTCCCAACCCAGACCTCAAGGTACAGAAACTGTGTAGGTGTTTCTCAGTATCCACATTGGGATTGAACTGAGAAACACCTACAATCTGGACAGTTGGCATTTCTGGAGAAGTAGGTTGGAAACCACTGTTCTACAACATATCGATGCTTTATCTGAGCAACGCAGTGCACTGCAGAGCATCATCAGCAAACCTGTATTTCCCTAAATCAAAACAATCTTGTAGAGTTTATAAGCCAAGCAAGTTGCCGATTAGTCTAAAAGCAATATATTGAACAGCTATCAAACTCCCCATGGTGTGGTGAGCTGCAGCTGGACTGTGCTTTTTACTATTTGGCTATTAGTCGTTTTTATTATAAATAAATGTTTTTTTTTGCCTGACACTGGAGTCACAGGAGCATTAATCTGATCACACGTACCCAAGGGGCTGAGATCCTCCCTGGGCGAGATAGCCTGGAGTGGGGCTTACACCACTCTACATTTGTGAGTTGCATTCTTAAAGAGGCAGTTATTTTTATTTTAAATTTTAATAATTGTATTGCACTAGGAGTGTAACAGGCTATACAGTGTAACAGGCTATAAGTATACACACATATATACATGGTCTTGTAGACCCCCTATAAGGGATCACTCCTGTTTTCACTGTATGTACTGCTTGATTACACTTCTCAACACTTGAGGGGTTTCTGCACACCAGCACTTTTCTGTTTTGTAAAT